GATAGATAGATAGATAGATAGATAGATAGATAGATAGATAGATAGATGATAGATAGATAGATAGATAGATAGATAGATAGATAGATAGATAGATGATAGACAGACAGACAGACAGACATGGATAGCCATGGATAGAGATAGGTAGATAGATAAATCTTTTTCTCTCTCATTTTGAGTAGCGATAGATGATAGATGATAGATAGATAGATAGATAGATAGATAGATAGATAGATCGTTCTCTCTGTTTTGTCTCTCTCATTTTGAGTAGTGATGGACAGATGGATGACGGAGAGAAGAGAGACTCATAGGTTGAAGGGAGGGCTTCTAATCCTACCCGCTTCTTAAGCCAGGAGATCTTATACCATCCCCCGTCCAATAATTGTCCCCTCTATTTTTGAACACTTCCAGTTAGTCGGCCTAGCTCACCCCCACCTCCCATTTCTATGGCTTTCAGCAATGGATTTCCAACCACCCCCAACCCCAACCCCCAGCAGCAGGCCAGTCCCACGTTTTCTCTCCCCCAGGCATTTTCCTTTCTTCCTCCTCCTCCTTCAGGAAGTCGGCTACCAGCACGGGAAGACGGTTTTCAATGTTTGGTGCAGGAGCGGAGTCCTCGAGAAAATGCTGAAGGACCGGCAGGAGCGTTGCCAGTCTAAGCCATCATGCGTGAGTGTTCCCTCGTGGGAGTGGGGAGAAGCCAGCTCAACCAACAGCCCTCCCCCGCCCCGCTCAACCTTTTGAGAGGAGGAGATAGGCTGGGGCACCGCCTGTCTTCAGGACCTGTTTTCACCCATGGTCTGCTTAGTCCCTTTTTTGAGATTTTGGGGGGGCCACTAATAGAAGAGACTATTCGGAGCTCAGGGTTGAAGTGTGGGGGTCCTTGGTGCTCTCTGAGCTGGGTGGTTTTCTTGCAGACGTTTCATGACCCAACTAGGTAACGTCATCAGTGCTAGAAGAGAGTGGGGCTTGAGGGCGGAAGGAGGAGGAGGAGGAGGACTGTAGGGTCCTTGGTGCTCTCTGAGCTTTGTAGTTTTCTTGCAGACATTTCATTACCCAACTAGGTAACATCATCAGTACTAGAAGGAGTGGAGTTTAAAGGGAGGAGGAGGAGGAGGAGGGACTATTCTTGGTGGTTTTGGTACAGCAGGTGGAGCCCCGGCCTTGGTGACTGAGCTAGGATGCCATGAATGTCCTATTTTGCCATTCCTAACTACCATTGGGCTGTTCTGTCTTCCATTCTGTTCCCCCCCTCTCCATCCTACAGCTAAGCATTCTTCCACCCTTTTATGAAGGATGGTTACTGTGGTGGACTGTAGTCTGGATTCCCAGGAGGGAAGGAGGGGGGAGGGGCTGCTTCCCAGAGGGCAAAAAGGCAGCAGAGAATGTCTGGTAGGCAGGAAGAGAGAAAAGTCGGTCCCTCCCTAGTAACCATTCGCAGAGGATATCCATAGTTTATTGCTTTAGTCTGGCAAGATTCTGTCTGCGGGCGAATGACAGTAAAGCTACTACTCAGGGGTAACTCCACATGTCTTTGTTGGTTCTTGGGCCTGACCATGACTGAGATACCCAGCAGTGCTCATTCTTTCTTTCTTTCTTTTCCTCCCCTTTCAGTACATGACATGCCCGACAACCTCTTTCACGGATTTGGCTGAAATCGTCTCCCGAATAGAACCGGTGAAGGCCATGATAGTGGATGGTGAGCAAAGGGAAGGAGACAAGCCATTATCAATAAAGGAGAATATTTGTAGCTCAGGGATGGAATGTGGGGTCCTTGGGGTGCTCTGGTTTTCTTGCAGACATTTCACTACCCAAACTAGGCAGCACCATAGCTGGTCCAGATGTTCTTATTTTGCATAGTTGTACCTATTTCGTTTGCTAGAAGAAGCAGTGGACAGTTGAGTTGCTACAGGCACTCCAGTGTGAGGATATCAGCTGTCAACTCGTAAAGCACTCCTATGCCTGTTTTCGAGTTGCCATAAGTAAGCGGGAGGAAATCTGAAGGAGCAGTACAGCAGTTTAAAAACAGAAGTATATTCTACGCTTATCTTACAAAGATTGTAGCTAGGCTACCGGATCTTCTGCCCAGGAAACTCCTTCATTGGAGAACATGATAGACATGAAGGTGCTTCATTGGAGAATCTGTGAAGGTGCTTCATTGGAGAATCTGATTTATGACACACCCAGGGGGCAAACAGGGTAACAGGTGACTGTAAATTACGTATGCCGGAGTTGGCTACATTTAGGTTAATGCTGGCATGTTGCTCCTAATAAATCTTTGGAAGCTTGTCTTGAGGCCCATGATTTAATTAGGGCAATTGCCGGAAACCTGACATCGGCTTAGCGTTCTTCTTCCCACCTTGACCCTGGCTTAAAACAAACCCTCTCCAACTTCTCTCATGTTCAGACGAATCCGACTATCAGACCGAATACGAAGAGGAGATTTTCGACATCCAGAAAGATGACTACGTCAATTTCCTGAGCAGCCAAACGGAAGAATATTTTGACTCCGTAAGAATAACCCTGTAACTTTTGGGGTCCCCCTGTCAGCCCCCCCTTCTCTCTCTCTCCCCCCCCCCCCGGCTGTGGAAGTTATTGGGTTTGATTTAAGAAGGGTTTGATGGTAGATCTCTTGCAGGCCAAACAGCCCTAGTCCTTTCTTTTTTTCTTGTTTACAGTTTTTATTAGTTTATAATATAAAATACAAAAGTCCAAAAACAAATGGTAGGAAAAATAGGGGAAGGGAGAAGTGTAGAAAAGAAGGGAAAAAAGAAAAAAAAAAGGCATTGACTTCTGGACTCCTCTTAGTATGGCAGTAACATCCAACTTCAACTTTTTACTTTTACTTTTTTAACAACAAATCAATCAGTAAAACCCCAAATCAAAGTTTCATTTGGTATGATTGTAAATCGACACATCACATGACCGGAGCTGATTTTAGTTTGGCCTAGTGGTTAAAGCACCAGGCTAGAAAGCAGGAGATTATGAGTTCAAGTCCCGCCTTAGCCAAGAAAGTCAATGGAGTGGCTTTGACCCAATCACCAGGAGGTGGTGAGTTCTAGTCCCGCCTTAGTCACAAAAGTTGTCTGATGACTTTGAGCCAATCGCCAAGAGATCGGAAGTTCGAGTCCCGCCTTAGGCACAAAAGCCAACTTGTTGACTTTGGGCCAGTCTCCCTCTCTTAGCCCAACCCACCTCACAGGGTTGTTGTTGTGGGAAAAAACAGTAGGAGGAAGGTGTGTTGGCCCACTGCCTTGAGTAATAACTCAAAATAAAAATAAATAACAAAAAAAGGTTAAAAATAAATAATAAAAAATGATAATAGTAAATAATAAATAAATAAATAAACAATAAAACAAATAAATAATAAAACAAATAATAAAATAAATAAACAATAAAATAAGTAATAATAAAATAAATAATATAATAAATAATAAAAATAATAAAGGCAGGATACAAATCAATCAATCAACATGGCGGCCTTGGCCAACCACCAGATTTGAAAGGGTCAGAGAGACCAAACGGTGACATCTCAGTACGTCTCCATCTCAAGCCAAATCAAATCATTTCTTTTCCTCTTTTTATCTCCAGCAGGATCCAGAAATCCGCCTGCGAAAACCTACCCGCGGCGACTCCGAAGACAGCCAACTCGCAGCGTAACAAGACCGACTCTAAAACCCACCTTGGAGCTCACCTGGCTTTCTCCTCCTCCCCCTCGTTGCCAACTTCCTTCGTGTGGAGAAGCCGTGGGCGCCTCTCCCTTCCCATTTCTCCATTTCTCGGTCTAAAAAAACCAAGGTGTCCCCAACCCCCAAAAGTGATCGGGATCCCCGGGGGGGGACAAGGGGGGCGGGGGGGGGGGGGGGCGTGTGCCATCCGCCTCTTTGCAAACTCTCGGCATCTGCAGAAACTTTGGGGCTGCTTTGCACAAACCGAAGAAGGGAAAGGAGCCCATTGCACAAATCTGGGGTGAAAGGACGAATAGCGGAGCGGAGGCCGGACTCCTGGCCGCCTTCAGCCCACTGGATCTCAGCGAGTTTGGTGCACTGTCTCCAAGGGGAACGAAAAGTCCCCCACTCACCCCGGGTATTGGCAGCTAGCGTAGGGGATGTGTTTTGCTCAGGGCCGAATGTCTGAGATGGAAGCCATCTGCCTGGGGTGTGTGTGTGTGTGTGGAAAGGAAACAAGAGTCGTGATGACAACTGCAGTGACTTTCACACCAACATCCGTTCAAGCAACGCTGCTTCTGTTGGCGGCAGAACGAGTTTTCTCGGGTTCCTGCAAGAAGCTGGGTGGGTTTTTTTTTTTTTGAACCTTGCTAAAAACTTCGGCGGAAAAATCCTCAAACTTATTTATACCGGCGTCCCTTTCAGCCCATGCTTGCCGTTCCTGGGTTGTTATACTGCCAAATCTCTCTTTTTTTTGGCCCTTTCTCTCCTCAGGGGTTCTTAAAAGAGAATAATAAAAATAATAAAAAGCTGGAAACCATATCCTGGTGTGCACCCGTGGCTCAAAGGCACCAGTTTTGGGGCATTTGATTTGCGTTTTGCAAATAAATCCAGATGAAGGGATGGTATTTGGGGATGGTGGGTGGTCCTAATGGTGATACAGGAGGTCCTCGGCTTACGGCTGCAATCCAGCCCAAAATTGATGTCGCTAAGCGAGACGGTTCTTAAGTGTGTGTGTTTTGCCCCTGTTTTTGCCTCACCATCATCATTAAGGGAATCACTGTGAGTTTCCCTCCCTCCCACGCGTTGATTTTGCTGGGCAGACAGTCGCAAAAGGGGATCTGGTGAACTCTGGGACATTGCAACCATCATAAGTACATGCCAGTTGCCAAGCGTTCTGAATTTTGATCGCGTGAGCCCGCTCCTAAGTTGCTTTTTTCCCCAGTGCCATTGCAACTTTTTTTGTGTGTATATTTTTTAAAAATTCGTAAACATTTTGAATACAGTGTATTGTCAGGGCTTATCATTTACAGAAAGGCAAAAGGAAGAACAGAAAGGGATATTAACATATATCCTAATAAGCAATAATAATAGTGTAACAATAGTTTTAACTAGGTTTTTTTTTATCTTAGCTTATTTGTCATTCTGTTGGTTACACTGGCATATTTATAATTATAAACCATCTTTATATTTAATTCATAAATAGCAATAATCTTCATCTAATTTCTACCTCTTATCTCTAGCCACTCATAAAATCCTATTCCATGTTAAGTGGTATTCTGTGTCTTCTTCATTCTTTCATTTTTAACGTCAGTCGGTCCATCTCTGCATCGTCCAATATTTTCCGAATTACATCCTCCTCTTATGGGGTGTTCTCATTTTTCCAATATTGTGCAAATACAATACATGCCAAACTAAACATATAGTCCCTTTATCATAGCCCTCCGGCAATACACCCAACAAAAATATTTCTGCTTCCAGATCTATATGTTGCTCAATCATCTTTTCTTTTGAATGGTCACTTTTAAATGGAGGTCATGGTTGTCCCAAAAATGCTTTTTTTCCCAAGAGACACCTGGACTTTCTGGTTTTTCTTCTTTGAAGACGTTTCGCTTCTCAACCAAGGAGCTTCTTCAGCTCTGACTGGATGGTGGGGAAGGGAAGGATTGATACTCCTTGCAGACGGCTGGTCATTTGCATCCTTTTGAGAGGGCCGTTGAGGCCACTTGGAGGTTTATCTGTATCCTCGGGCTCCAAGTAATCTCAATGACCCTCTAAAAGGATGCAAATGACCAGCCGTCTGCAAGGAGTATCAATCCTTCCCTTCCCCACCATCCACAGTCAGAGCTGAAGAAGCTCCTTGGATGAGAAGCGAAATGTCTTCGAAAGAAAAATCCAGAAAAACCCAGTTGCCTCCTTGGGGGGGAAAGCTCTACAGCTTCTTCGTTGAAAGTGGGATGGAGTTCCCTGTTGTGAAACGGAAGGAGGGGGTCCATCTCTTCCGGCCTTCTTGACCGCCCGTTGATGGCCACGAACACATTCTCTCCAATTTTCTGCCTTTTTGACGTCATCCACAGGCTGGAAAACACCATGTGGTGGATGTTTGCACAAGCGGGAGTGTCGGGGGGGAAAAAAACAAAACCCCAATCACCCAGCATTTATGTAGGCAACCGGTTCCTAGAGATGCAATTCAAATGTGACATTATTATTACTATTTTTTCTTCTTCCTCCGAGAAACAGATGGATCAGTTTGAGACTTGAGAATAACCCCACATGCAAAGAAGGCTGGGAAAATATATATATATATTTGCGGAAAATACAGCAAAAAAACCTCCAAACCCCTTTTCTAACCGCCATTCAAACTGAGGACGCGTTGGTCGTTCTGCAGAAATTTACAGATAATCAGAGTTGGAAGGGACCTTGTAGGTCATCTAGTCCAACCCCCCCTCCACCCAAGTAGGAGACCCTACACCATTTCTGACAGACGGCAGTACCGGTGTCTTCTTGAAAGCTTTCACAACTTCTGAGCAATGGAGTCTTTTAAGGCCAAAAGGTTGTGCATCAGACCAAGAAACCAAGGTTAAAATCTTGGGCTGTGTTTCTAGTCCACAGGAACCATAATACGTGAAATGCTTTTAGGTTTTTTTTTCCTCCTAGCCCTCAACTTTTTCATTTACCGACCATTCAAAGTTACAACGGCAATGAAGACAGTGTCTTATCACCGCTTTTCACTCTTATGTCCGTTGTAGACTGATTCATATTTATGACGGTTGCAGTGTCCTGGCCCCCACGCGATCCCCTTTTGCGACCGTCTGACAAGCAAAGTCAAAAGGGGGAAGGGAGCCAGATTCACTTAACAACCATGTTGTTAACAAAGACAGCGAGCTACTTAACAATGGGGGCCAGAAAGGCCTTTAAATGGGGCAAAAATCTCTTTTATCAGTGGAAATTTCAGATTCGACCGTGGTCATAAGCCAAAGACTCCCTCTATTCACTTCTTTTTCTACCTCTCCTGTAATACACTAGACACTTTTTTTGCTGTGGTCATGAAACAAGGACATTACCTCCCTCCCTGGATTTGTCTTTACCTGTCCAGGAAGAGATCTATCAAAATAATAGCTGGCATGTGCCCTCCATTATCATTTTCTAATTTCAGCAAGGAGACGGATGGTTTTGTTTGGTCAATTCTCTCTCTCTCTTTTTTTTTTTTTTTGTTTTCTTTTAACGATGCTGGTAATTAAAAATTTGCCAGGGCAAAACGGTGCCCTTTTTTCATTTGGTTCCAAGCTGATAGATCCCAGCCTGAATGTTTTTCTGAAGAGGAGAATTGGAGGAGGCAGGATCCAACCGCTGGAGAATTCTGAGCTGAAATTTACAGGTGAACAGAGTTGGAAGGGACCTTGTAGGTCATCTAGTCCAACCCCCTGCCCAAGCCGGAGACCCTATGCCATTTCTGACAGAGGGCAATCCAGTCTCTTCTTGAAAGCCTCCATTATCAGTGCTAGAAGGGGAGGGGAGGAGGAAGAGGAGGGGGAGGAAGATTGGGAGGTCACTGATGCTCTCTGAGCTTGGTGGTTTTCTTGCAGACGTTTCATGACCCAAGAAGGTAAGATCATCAGTGTTAGAAGGGAGTGGGGTTTGTGGAGAGTAGGAGAAAGAGGAAGAGGAAGAGGAGGAAGAAGAGGAGGAGGTCATCTGTGAATTCCTTAGTGCTGTCTGAGCTTAGTGGTTTTCCAGCAGACCCAACTAGGGAACATCACCAGTGCACTCAACCAAAACAACAAAGCTCTCAGAGAGCACCAAGGCCCCAGCAACCTTTAGTCCTTAAACAACCATTTAAATAACCTTTAGTCCTTAAATAACCACTGCAACTGTTTTCTGCTGCTACCTTTGATGGGGTTGTTTTTTTCATAAACAACCAAGAGAATTAGCATGCTCCTGGATTAGCTAGAAGGAACCGGCAAAGGAATATGATTAAGTACAGGAGTCAATTGTTAGATCCCAGCAAAAAGCTGCGTCTTGAGTTCTTAGATCGAACGAAATCCTTGCCGATAATGAAAAAAAAAACCAAGAGGAAAGCGCAGCACACCAAGCTGTTTGCAAGCTACTTGTTCAATTCAGGCAATTTTTTTTCTGGATGCTCTTTTCAAATCCTCTTCCTGCTCAATTTCTTTTTCTTTCTCCCACCCCCCCTATTTAACAGCATTTCGAGCCCACGAAAACCGTTCCATTTTGGCCGCTCTATTTTTAGCCCCGTCGAAGGATAACAGGTTTTGACAAACAACGCCAAGTCAATCTCTTTTTTTTTCCCCGCTCTCTTGGGGGCATTTTGTGCTATTTTGGCTACCCAACACATCTGGACTCGCCTCCGAATTTTGGTAAATGAAACGCAAGGGAGAGCTGCTAAAAATAGGAAGGCTAAATTAGGGGATGGTTTTAAGCTAGCTTCCTATGTGTTGACAGCAGACAACCCAATGTTTGTGGAAAGGTTTCCTGCTGGGCCACCCCCCCCACCTCTCTCCCCCACCCCCACAGATCTGTTGCTTTGGAAGGCAGAGGTAGACTGCTCCTGAACCTGGAGGCTTCACTTAACTGAAGAAGCAAACGCATCGGCGCAGCGTAGTTTCTCCTTTAAGGCCAGAGAGTTATAAAATAGCTTCAACCACCTCACCCATCTTCCCAGGAACTCGATTTTGCTGCATTTCCCGGTTTGTAGGTGGGTAAAAAGTACTTTCTCTCCCATCTTACACATCCCTCCTCTTCTCTTCCTGGATTGCTGCAATAAATGTTGGTCAATAGGTCTTTTCATAGATATTGTACTCTCAAATTGCAAATGGAGACGTGGGAAGTCTATTTTTCTTATCTTCATTTTTAAGTACTTTGGTTTTATTGTATTGCAAACAGTTGCTGGGGTGCATCCACAGTTTCGTTGTACTTGTACAATCACAATAAAGTTCTTCTAATTCTAATTCTTAGTGGAGAGCTGTGGAAAGCCAGTTGGGGTGACAGTTAAGGCATCAGGCTCGAAACCCGGAGGCTGAATTCTAGTCCCGCCTTAGACATGAAAGTTGGCTGGGTGACTTTGGGCCAATCACCCGGAAACTGTGAGTTCTGGGCCTGCTTTTGACATGAAAGCTGGCTGGGTGATGTTGACCCAATCACCAGGAGATGGTAAGGTCTAGTTCTGCCTTTGACATGAAGCCAACAAGGTGACCTTGGGCCAATCTCTTTCTCTCTCTCTCAGCCCTAGGAAGCAGATAATAATGGCAAACCGCTTCTGAAAATCGAGGCCATCTCAGGAGTCGGTGCTGATTCAAAGACACACGGTATAACGATTATTTTGGCCCTTCTCCCCTAGACAGCAGACTCCATAGAAGCAGAAAAAAAGGGAACCCAGGGCAAAATATTGGAAATGAAATATTATATTGGAAATGTGGACTCGGAGACTCAAAAAATGGATGGCAGGATTCTTGTACCTGGGAGGCAGGAGGAGAAAAACCCAGTAATAGAGTTTGCTGTCTGATCAAGACTGATAATATTTTTTGCCTTCAGCAATAGCTCAATGGGAACAAAAATGTAACACAAAACTGTTTCTTATAGGGAATTTGGTGACGCATCGAAGAGATGTTTAAAGACGGCTAGAGAAGGAGCAAGCTTTCGAATACAAACCAGCAGTGAGTATCTATCCACCTGTCTGGATTCAAGCCCTCTTTTGCCCTGTCTGGACCCCATGCCAGTCTTTCAGCCTCAGTTTCCAATTCTGTACAATGGGCGTGACAAGGTCTTCCTTAAGCTGAGGGCTGGAAACTTCCAAGTTTCCCTCGTGCCTGTTTCTTAAAAAGGGTCTATCTAGATTTTTAAAAAAAGTTAATTGCCCTTGCTTGCTGTTTGTGAGTCCACCCACCAAAGACAGGATTCTGGATCCTGCCCTGCTCCCCTCTGCCTTGGCAATATCTTCATGCTCCAGCAATTATAATTATTCCAATAATCCTCTCCTCCCACCTTTTCCCCTCAGTGCAATTTTCCCCAATGAATGCTTCTCACAGGCTTCTTGGGGGGAAAACACAAAGAAGGGACTACACAGCTTCCTTCCTTCTTCTTTTTGAAGGAAAGGCAGGGTAGTATAAATAAAATAAACTAATGCTTAGAGAGGGGAATATATCCTGGCTTCCTATTCCATGGATCATTCAGGCTGCTGCTGGTGGTTTTCTCAGTAGTTCCTTCATGCAATGTTTCCTGCTTGATCTTTTTGTCTGGAATTAATCCTTGCTTATCTGGCTGTTGGCTGCTGGAGAGAATATGTTTGGATTCTATTTTCTCCCTGTCTTAGCTTTTTTTTTTTTTAATTATCTCTTTCGAACGGTGTGGAAAGGTGCTTTATCTCTATGTGTCCGTTGATGGCTGCTTTGTCCAAATGCCAAGCTTCCAGGAATTCTCTGCTGTTTCTTGATTTGGCTTTGATATCGGATGCTCATAGATTCCCAGTTGACACCTGTGGTTGAGTCTGTCCCCATGGTGTGAAATTAAGGACTTCTTGTTAGGTCTTCTGACTGCTAAGTTGGTAATCATGGATGGCCTCAGCTAATCTCCTATCTACACATTGGCTGTGACAATCCTTACATTGTATGTTGTATCCTGTTTTTTTTTTTTTCTCTTCCTACTTGGGCTACAGGGTATTTTGGTTTACTAAAGGTGTTTTGGAGAGAGCTGTAGTCAGTTTGTATACTACTGTATGGCTGTATACAATCTGTTAGTCGTTTCTCTGAGATTGTTTTGATATAGGGTAGTGTTACCCCTCCTGCAAGTCCCTTGGACTGCAAGGCCATCCAACCAATCGGTCCTAGAGGAGATCCACCCTGGCTGCTCTTTAGAAGGCCAGATCCTGAAGAGGAAACTCAGAGACTTTGGCCACCTCATGAGAAGGAAGGACTCGCTGGAGAAAAGCTTAAATGCTGGGAACGGTTGAGGGCAGAAGAAGAAGGGGACAGCAGAGAAGGAGGGGGCTGGATGGAGTCCCTGAAGCAGTTGGCGTGAGCTTCAGTGGACTCCAGAAGATGGTAGAGGACAGGAAGGCCTGGAGGAACATTGTCCAAGGGGTCACGATGGGTCAGACTTCGCGACTTCACGACGAACAACAAGTGTTATCCTTTTCCTAGTTGGTTGTGGGCTGAGCGGTCCGGCATTTTTTGCTCAAAGTTGTGCGTGGGTAGCGATACATAGCAACCTTGTGATGGTGTTAGAACCACAATATGAATTCCCGATTCAGGACAGGGGCTGAATTACAGCCACCGAAGGACAAAATGTCCCAGAGAGTGGTGGACAATCCGTTCTCCGGCCTCCCTATTGAAGGAGCCCCCAAAATTGGAGACTTTGAGCTGTCCCGTCTTTGAAACCGATTTGTCTCCATTCTAAAAACACCCTTCCAAGGCCAGAGAGGTCCAGTCCGACTAAGCAGGAGACGGAGAGAAGCCAGTGGCCGGTGGCCACTTTCTTTAGGTGGCCCTTCTCCTCCCATCCAGCACGGAGGGCTCCCTCCAACCTTTCAACCCCTTGCTCGGCCTCTGTCGGACTGCTGGCCAAGCTGCGCTGTCCGGGATTTGGGAGAAGTGGGTGGGGCGGGGGTCTCCCTCGCCCACCCTTAACGGCGCAAGGCAACTTTGCAACGGATCGCTCGCCGGCTTGCTCCCTCCCAGGTCGCCGGGAGCGCACGGAGAAGGGAAGCATCGCTCCGCCGGCTTGCTCCATCCGAGCTGCGCTCCTGTCCTGCCCGCCGGGACTGGAGGGGGGCCGGTCTTCCCCAAATATAGGCATGCCGGCGCCCGCCCTTCCTGAGCTCCGCCTCTCTCGCCCCCCCGCTCCCCAGCTTCTCGCCGGTGGCGGAGGAGCCGCAGTCAATGAGCAGCCGCCGTGCGCGCCGAGGGGCGGCCGGTGGGGGCAGCTCCACCTCCTTCCTCGGCAGATCCGCCCGGCAGGAGGAGAGGAGGAGGACCTGGGCATCGGGCTCGGCCGGCGTTGGCAGCAGCAGCAGCAGCAGCAGAAGCGACTGCAACCCACCAGCATGGGCGGTGGCGGCTGAGCGGCGTGGCGGCGATGAGCCAGGGAGACCATGGGCACCGCCGTCTCCAAGCGCCGCTCGTTCCGCAACGAGGCCGTGGCATCGGTGGCGGCCAAAGTCAGGTGAACGACCGGCTCTGCCCCGCCAGGGAAGCGGGGATGGGGGAGAGCTCGGGGTGCGGGGAGCGCGTGGGCGTGTGTGTGCCCCCCCCCCAACCCAAGGAAGGCGGGTAGGGGTCGCCAAGAAAAGCCGCGCGTAAAAAGGCTGCGCGTAAAAAGCCGGCGGGGGCGCAGCAGCTGTGGGAAAGGCGAAGGGGGAGCACACGCGAAAGCCGGAGCCGGGAATTGGGGCGGGGGCTTCGGAAGAGGAGGAAGAGGAGGGTCGGCAGCCTGCAAAGGAGAAGCCGGGCAGGAGGAGGGCGCAACGGGGAAGGCAGCGAGCAAAGGGACCGCGGCGGCGGTTGCTACGGGGGTAGGAGGAGAGGACGTGCGAAGGCGCGACGTGCAGCGCTTTGTGCTTTTGCGCTCCGGTCGAGCTGGCAATCCGCAGCTGGGGAGAGGAAGGCGGGGGGGAGGCGGCCGTCGGAGGCGGTTCTTCTCCCGTGGAAGCAACCCAACCTCAGCCGAAAACCAGCATCTCCGGCTCAAGTTAAAACACTCAAGCGCTACGTGCGGATTTGTGCCGGCGCCGCCAACCCGTTGTAGCGCTCCCACACCCCACACTTGGCTAACCCGGGCGGTTCTATCCCCCTGCCCGACCTCTGCCAGAGGGGGACCCGCCGCTCCTTTTAACAAGCCCCAGGCCGAGCTGCACCCCGGGCTCAGTTTTAGGAAGGCGGATGCCCCTTCTGTTGCGGGTTTCTGCCGAGCTTTGCGGGTTTCTGCCGAATCCTGGAGTCTTCCCAGGCTGCTAAAACTCTGTGCCGTTGAATGCGAAGTCCTGGATTCAGGATCCAGCCGCGATTGGAGAGAGGGAGAGAGAGAGAGAGAGAGAGAGAAAGGAAAGGAAGGGGAGGAACAGAAAGGAAAGATAGATGAAAGGGGAAAGGGGAAAGGAAAGATGAAAGGGAAGGGAAGGGAAAAGATGGACAGATGAAAGGGGAAGGAAAGGAAGAAAGAGGAAAGGAAGGGAAGGAAAAGAAAGGAAAGACAGTTGAAAGGGGAAGGAAGGGGAAAAGGGAAGATGAAAGGGAAGAGAAAGGAAGGACAGATGAAAGGGGAATGAAAAGAAAGGAAGAAAGAAAGAGGAAAGGAGGGGAAGGAGGAGGAAAGGGGAGGGAGGGGAGAGAGGAGGGGAGAGGAAGAAGAGAAGAGAAGGAGGGAAGGGAAGAGGAAGGAAAGGAGGAAGGGAAAGGAAGGAAGGAATTTGATTACTAGTGCACATGTCAGTGCTGTGAGCGTGATATCAAGACATCTTAAGAAAGAAAGATAGACTTAAAAAAAAATAATACCCCAAACTTTTCTATACCTGCCAGCCAGAAGCTGCTGCTGCTCTATAGTTTCAGCCCAGCTGTCGCTTTGCATTGGGTCGAAATAGCAGCTGACGTGAGGGGCGAAGCACTTGGCAAGCTGCCTGGCCCTGTTGGAACATTTGTGGCAAAGCTCCAGGGAGCCCCTGGCTTACTCCTTGCGAACTTCCAACTTGGTGGATGCAGCATGGAGCTGCAGCACTGCCTGCCTGCCTGCCTGCGCAGTTCTGACAGCTCTGTCCAAGCATGGCATCCGAGTTGCCCTTAAACCTGCCTTGTGCTATGCGGACTTCGGGTCCGTGTCACCTTCCTGGCTTTAATAATGGTGCTGAGGCCCCAAATCCTCTGGTCCTCAGCGAGAATGGATCACTTATTAGCCGGGGAGGATCCTGTTTAGCTGGCCAGGCCAGATGGGGGAGCGTCCAAGAAGAGGTTGAGGAGTGAATTATTGGAGCAGCTGAATACTGCCAGGCGTGGGAAAATTGGAAAGTTATTCCCATGGGTGTTCTTTCCAGCGGCTTTCATGCTCAGTGAGCATGCAATTTGCCTTGACTTTCTTTCGTGTGACCGTGTAGAGAACTTGGGTAACTCATTGGCAGAGAAATGTGTTTTTTTTCCTGGAGGCCTTGAGTTTAATCCCCTATAGAATTAACTTGCAACCTTTGGATAGCTTCAGGAATTTAAGGAGCATCTGCCGGGGTTTAACTGTGGTTTGAGTCCGATTCCTACTTTTCAATCCTTCTCAAACGGAATTGAGAGCTTCAATTTCTCAAGCACAGAATTTGGTATCTGATGCTCTTAAGAAATAGGGTTTCAGCATGCACCAAGTGACTAGTCCTCATTGTCCAGAAGGTGCATTTGCAAACAATGTGGGTGACGCTTGTTGAATTCTCAGAAGTGGATGTGACAGCGGGTGTGTGTTTATGTGTGTGCATGTGTGTGTGTGTGTGTGTGTTAGAGCTCTTTGTTTTTCTCAGAAACAATATAAAGAACCTCAGGCAGTCCTCAATTTGAAACCATTCCTTTAGCAAGTGTTTGAACATTAAAAAGCTCTATGTTCAAATCCCAGTGACTAGGCGTGTATATTTACCTTCATTCGAGATAGATAGATAGATAGATAGATGATAGATAGATAGATAGATAGATAGATAGATAGAAAGATAGAAAGATAGATAGACAGAAAGATAGATAGACAGAAAGAAAGAAGAAAGAAAGAAAGAATGAATGAATGAAAAAGAAAGAAAGAAAGAAAGAAAGAAAGAAAGAAAGAAAGAAAGAAAGAAAGAAAGAAAGAAAAGAAAGAAAGAGAAAGAAAGAAAGAAAGAATTACAGAGTTGGAAGGAATCTTGACAGACAGAGATATGTGGGTAGTAGGTAAATGAGATAGACAGGTAGGTAGGTAGATAGATATGGATGGATAGATGGATGGGACAAAAATAGCCCTTAGACTCACATACCGCTTCACAGTGCTTTATAGCCCTCTCTAAGTGGTTGACAGAGTCATCATCTTGCCTCCAACAATCTGGGTCCTCATTTTAGTGACCTTAAAAGAACGGAAGGCTGAGTCAACCTTGTGCCAGTCAGGACTGAAATCCAGGTAGATGTCAAGATGGATGGATAGATAATAGAAAGACAGAGAGAGAGAAGTCCTCTGAAGATGAGCTCTGGACCAGAACGAGCCTGAAAGCTTGGAAGACAAAACCTCTGGTCTCCGTGACTGGCCCAGATTGGACCCTGCAATATGATCCTGGGACAGGCATCTTCCTGTCTCTCCCACCACCCATGTTCTTCTGTGATTCCTCTCTCCGAGACGCTCTTCTTCAATTTCAGAAGCGGTTAGAAAAAGAACATCGACAGGAGATAAAATCCAGAAAGCTTCCCTTTCCCCGATCCACCGATTTTCCAGGATAAGAAGGAGGTTGAGCCTGAAATCACTCTTAATTTCCTATAATTTGGAGAACAAAACTCTCTCTTTTTTTCTCTTCATAATAAGGATGCTTCTCTCTGGCTGCAGCTGGGCCCGTAAGTCTTGATGCCGTTGAAGTGTTGATGGCTCGTTCATCTGATTTGACAGGGCTGACAGCCAACGAGGCACCTGCCGAAAAACGGAGGTGCTCTTTCTAATTGCAAGAACAAAACCGTGGAAATAATGATTTCAACGTTTTCCCCCCTGTTGTTTTGTCCCACAACTGCCCATCAAAAGAAAGTTATTGATCCGGTTCGACTTCCATCCTGTCTTTATTTTGGACAACTCCAGATGGTGCACCAAATATTCCTGCCTCCTTTTTGCTTTGGTTTTTTTATCTCCTCCCCACCTCCTGCGACAAAAGAAAACCCTGTTGGCTGGACTGGGAAGGAAATGCTGGCCCAAGGTCACCCAGGCTAGATTCTGTGCCTTAAAAATCTCTTCGCTTTCCTGATTTCTACAGTATCTGGCCCTTTCCACCACTACCCCATTACCGGATAGGTTTTAAGATCCAACTGCATCTGCTTTGTTCCTGCAGATACTTTTTGCAGAGCGATTGCCCTTCTCTCGGTCTTCCAGCTCCGATGAAGGTCAAAAACATGGAGCTGCTAAAACTGGGGGCCACTTTGAGATCTCTTACAGGTAGAAAGAAACTCCGAAACCTGATCGGCTGAAAAGAAAATTCTAGTCCTGCCACTAACAATAAAGTTTGCTGGGAAATAACCTCTCTTGGGATCTGCTCCCTGGTTACAAAACCCAAGGATCTAGAAAAGCATGCGTGGCTGTTTTCTATCAGTCTCAAAACAGGTTCTTCTTCTTCATTCCGTTTCTGGAATCGGTGTATTCAGTGCATTAAAAAAAGAAAAAAGAAAAAACCTTTGAAAATGTGACAAATGAGACTCTGGAAAGAGTGCAGAGAAGAGCAATAAAGAAAAAAAAAAGATTAAAGGATTGGAAGATAAAACATATTACAGGAATTGGGTTTGGCTAGTTTAATAAAAAAAAAAGGACCAGGAGTGAGGAATTGGATACGTCAAGTTGAAAAGAAGGACTAAGGATGACATGATAGCAATGTTCCAATATTTGAGGGGCTGCCCCAAAGAAGAGGGAGTCAAGCTATTCTCCAAAGCCCCTGAGAGGCAGGACAAGAAGCAACGGATGGAAACTCATCAAGGAGAGAAACAACTTAGAACTAAGAAGGAATTTCCTGACACTGAAGACAATTAATCAGTGCAAAGGTTTCCCTGCGGAAGTTGCGACTCACCGTCTATAAAACTTACATGTTTTATGTATATTTATATTGTGTTTTACACATCGATTTTGTTTGTAACGAAATGTCTTGTACTATAACATTGTATATATTTTTCTTTTTTAATCTTTAATAAAGTTTATTTTTAAAAAAAAAAAAAAAAGAAGTTGCGGCTGTTCTGTCACTGGAGGCTTTCAAGAAGAGACTGTCTGGAATGGTATTGAGTCTCCTGCTTAAGCAAAACATATGAAGAAAGGTGGCAAGATTTGAGTTTGGCCTGCCTAGAGAAAAGAAGGAGAAATTTCCTGACTGTGAGAATAATTAATCGGTGGAACTTTTGCCTCCAAAAGTTATGGGTGCTCCATCACTGGTGATTTTTAAGAAGAGACCAGACAACCATTTGCTTGAATTGGTGTAGGGTTTTCCTGCTTCCTGAGCAGGGGGGTTGGACAAGAAGACCTCCAAGGTCCCCCCAAGGTCTGTTACTCTGTTATTCTCTTTCTTTAGGATTAAAAAGCAGAACTGGAGATCCAGCCATCTCTATGTAGACCGAGATCCA